CACCTCCCCTATCAACACCCACTTAGGTAGTCATCAGTTCAGGAAAAAGGGGAGGGAAACCACTGGTCCAGAGATAGGGTGTACCAGATTGAGGTGATATCATCAACAGCGTCACAACACACAGAAAAAAAACCCCAAACAATAACTAACTGTCCTCTGTGGCTCCTCTGCTTAACTATGCAGAATGAGGGGGCAAAACCAGGACTAAAAAGCTAATGTTTGAAGAATGTTAGAGAGAAGGAGCAAACCTCTCATAGGCATCACAGAGGATTTTCTCAGCAACCACAAGATGCTATTGAAATGTGAAAAATAAAAATCCCTCGAGTGCTTTAAGATCCCTCTTCTTGTCTGGAGATGAAGGCCCACAAACAGCTAAGACCTGGAACAGCACCCCCTGGTACCCGAGTGCCACGGGGACACAGAGTGGCTACACCCATGAAACAGAGATGCCCAAAACTCAGGACAGCCTTGGTGCTGAGCAGCCAGGAGGGCAACACCCCCAGCCCCCAGAAATGGGCACGTTTTGTTGGGATTTCATTCACTCACACTTCATCCAAACGCCTTTAATTGAAACTACCACAAATACTGACAGAATCTTTCCTCACCTGAAACAAGCAGTGCACTAAGAGTAAAAGGAGAAATAATCTGTAGCAGCAGCAAACACCAAAAGGAAAGCAGCACGTGTGTAGGAGTGGCACACCCAAAATCCTGCTGTCACCAACGAAGGGGCAGCACCAGGAAGCTCTCGTGGCCAGCACAGCCCAGGAGTGCCCAGGAAAACCCCTGGGGGTTTGTGGATCTCCATCACTGTGGCCGTTGTGATGTCTCCGAGGTGAGTGCAGCACATGGGGGTTCCTGATGCAGCAGTGGTCAGCCCCACTGGGGTGGTGCTGCCAACAAATTAAAGTCAAAGGGCTCCACAGCCAGAGGCCACTGTTAATGGAGTCACACATTTCCTTGATCAAAGCTCTGGAGCAGGTCAAGAGTGACAGCAAAGTTACTGCTGACTAACAGGTGTGTGGTGGACCATGTGAGAGAAGCTGGTCCTCTCAGTCCACTTCTTGACTGAGGGACACATGTCTGCAGTGCATGCAGCAGTCACCACCACTGACACCTCAAAGCATCTCAGACAGACCAAGAACTGTGAATTCCAATGACCAAGAACTTACAGCTCTGGCTGTAAAGTGCAAAGCTCAAAGACCTCTGTAACCCAGCTTTACCTGAATCAACTTCCACACAGAAGTGGGGCATGGGAGCTCTACCAAGAGATAGAGAATCATACAACAGTTTGGGTGGGAAGGGACCTTTCAAGGTCACCCAGTCCAACCCCCTGCAGGGAGCAGGGACATCTGCAGCTAGAGCAGGGTGCTCAGAGCTTGGTCCAACCTCCCCTGGGATGGTGCCAGGGATGGGGCAGCGACCACCTCTCTGGGCAGCCAATTCCTCCTCCACCACACAGTCCACCCATCAAACCCATAGCCCTTTCCAATTTAGAGAGAAGGATGCTGTGGGGGGCCACACTAAAGGCCTTCCAGAAGTGCACACAGATGACACCGTGTTGGGCAGATCCAGCAGGTCACTGCCAGGCACTGTTATTTAAGGCACACTCTGAGATATGCTTCCTCATGCACTTCGCAGTGTCTCACATTCTGAACAGAGATTTTAAGCCCTGAGCTAGCTGAGAAATAGATTAGAAAGCAGGTGGCAAGAAACCTGATTCTTCTCCTCTGCACATGGCTTTTGTGTGGCTCTACAGGACACCCGTGAGTGTTCCATGGGCAGCCACCCAAAGTGCTCTGGAGGAGCCCACCTGACCCACCAAGGCTGGAGGCTCTGCAGGAGCACCAGTGATGCTGCTGGACGTGGCTCTAACTCCATGGGGGACTCCTGTGCACCCCCACTACCAGCCCTCTCCCAGATGGCATGCAGTGCTGTCTCCTGCACACGCCACCAGCTGCCTGCAGTGTTTTGTGATGGAGCTGTCAACGTGCACCTTCCAATGACCAAGTGCTCACCTAGGTGGTGAGGACCCTGTCCAACAGTGGTGTCCTTCACTGGAACAACAGCCTTGGGATGCTCCCGAGACACAGATTAACTCCAGGATCAGTTTTATTAAAGCACAAATTTCCTTGAAACAGTTTACACCAAAAGAACTAAGGGGCAATGCTGCAAGAGAGTTCAGGCCAGATTTTGGGACATTCTTACCAGTCTGAATCGCTCAATGACTTACAAAACAATCCTGGGTCTTCTACTTAGTGCAGGCTGCCAGTTACAAGAGGTGTAAGAAGTCTTAGGACACGACTGACTTTGAAACCTGCTTTTTCCTGTTAGTCCAGCTTGAAAGTGAACAATAACCTCCTAAGGCCAAGCTAATGGGCCATCCATAAACCAGATCCATGAGGGTCTGTATATGTAATGGTAATGTCTGAAACCAAATTTCAGTAAGAAAATATTTTGGGGGGGGTGTTTAAGTTATTTCTCAACAGGCACACACTGTGTAACCTAAACCAATATAATACTTGTGAAACTCAGTCATTTCCTAAGAGCTTACCAACTTATGAGGAACTAAACCAACATATATCCATTACACAGCCAGCAGATAAAGCACAGAGGAAAGAAGGTTTTCAAAGGTACTTTGTTTTAAACAAGTAAAAATGGTCTGTAACATCCCAGAGGGTCATTCCATAAGTTACTACAGTGGAAAATAATTTCACAAGCTGTAGCCAGCTGTGGTCACCATATACACCTGATGTTTGCTTTTATTTCTTGAGTATGGACAACCAAGCCAGACTGATGGTTTCCATTCTCTACCCACCATTATCAGCTTTAAGCACTGTATCAGAAGTATTACTGCAGCAAAACAGTCTTTACTGAAACTTCCAAATCTAACAAGCAAGAGGTGGGTGATTTGTGCCCTTTGAGAGGTATGCATCTGTGGTTGTTCCACAGATAGCCAAAAAAGGCCAAATTCTCTTTGATAACATGTTACTACAACACTAATGAGGGTTTTTTGATGTCTAGAAAACACTTACCTTCCACAGCTTACAAAGAAAGCTCTGTTTAATTATTTGTAGCATTGTAGGTTGACCAGGAAATACTCCAGACAAAATATTATTAGCAAAAGAGAAACACAAGTACCACACTCCAAGAAAAAGCAGCTTTCTACAGATGATCAGTGTTCACAAACACACAAAACACCTCAGGAAGAAACTCTCACAACTGCAACCCCCTGTTCAAGTGTCCGAGTACCACCCGAGGGGTTTCTGAACACCAATCTAATCCCTCCCTCTCCACGAGCACTCGGGGAAACCTCTCCCCTTCCACTTCAGGGGACTCAAGAACGAGGCCCAAGGACAACACAGACACACAGGCTGCAAACAAACCTGGCCAAGAGGGAAACAAAGGAAGGAACAACCTAATGGATGTTTTCTAGGCCTCTGTTCCTAATCAAGGACATTTAGCTGCAAACAAGCACCACAGTAAGACCATGGATGATAAAGTAATTAATAATCAGCTCAGCTCCCAAGCAAAGGGAACTTGCAATCATTTAGCAGTTTTTCCAGACCACTGGCACGAAGGAGCACATTGCATGCAGAGAAGAGAAGGCACAGCTGGAGAAACATCCTTTCAGAAGCAGGGGTGAATGAAAAAAGTCCATCCACAACCTGCCATTACTTGTTCCCATGCCACTGTAACTTCTGAGACACTACTGGGAACAGATCTGGGTAAATCTAACCCTTCACATCTCCTGGGGGGTGGCCAGGGGAAGGAAAGGGCGACGTGGTTATATTTAACCCACAAAAGCTCCCAGATCTGTTCACCACACAGCCTCACAAACAGATGCACCACCACAAGTGAGGAGGTGGCGTGTGGGCTGCCAAGCTGCCACCACACAGGGAACACTGGCCTGAGGCTGCAGCTCATCTGGGCCATGACTAAGTCTCCTTACATTTCTAATCATGATAATAAAAAAGCAAGATTCTATTCATTTGAGGGAACAGCACCCTGGAGGAAATATTACATCTCCCTTAGTACAACTGGTGATCTCTCCAACTAAGAGCACCCCTGAAATTCAACCTCTTCCAGACTTACCAAGCACCAGGCACAACACAAGGCAAATTATAATAAAGTCAACCTCTAAAGCTCTGCTTCAGCACACTTCAGAGTTCAAGGTCCACAAAGAATTCACCATTAACTTGATTTTGGTTTTAACCATGACTTACTAGGGCCACCTTTTGTTCAGCTTTCCTATTGACTTGCCTGGGAGAGGTGGAAATTCTGTCACTTCAGGACTGAATTCATTAGAGACTTTTTACATGAAGAGGATGAAAAGTGAAGATACCTCTGAGGAGTAACACCAGCAAATGCCTTACCCACTGTTTTGCCATTTTTCATAAAAAGTGGAACACAGGGAAGGAACAAAAATCTAAGGGGACAGCAGTTCCCAACGTAAGTCGAGTAGCAGGATATTAAGGTCTCACAAAGCCCAGCCCAAGTCCCCTCCTTCCAAGGTAAGCTTGAGGCACAACAGGCCCACACAGGAGACCTGCAGCTTGGTCCCAGCTCTGCCACTGCTCAAGGTGCCACAGCCTAAATGAGGCTGTTTTACACAGCAAACCTCCTACACAAGGATCTGCTATAAAGATTCAAGAAAGGAGCCCAAATAAAAGGAGAGTTGGTAGTGGGCAAGGGAGAAGCAATGTTGTGGTTATGTGATGCCTGAACTCCACAGAAGGAAACTTACCTTTACTACATTAAATTAGCCACTCGATCCCATAATTGGGTTACACTGATTGACACTAATTGCCTCTTCCTTTGCCAGTTAGATTTCTTCTTGTTGTAACAGCAGCAACAACTAAATCTGTGGCTGGATCCCAAAACAGCATTGCCACAAGAAAATCAGTCTCGGGATGCCAATGGTGTGGAACAAGAAATGAACCCCAGGATGACTGTAAGAGCCAAGTACAAAGCCAGGATCCACCAGAGCCCCCACCTCTCACCTCGAGCATGGGGCGGGCGCTGTCGTGGATTGAGAGAATGTGTGTGATGTTGTTCCTGCTCAGCTGCTCCACATCTCGGGCATCTGTGATAAAGGGAAAGAAGGAAGAGAATTTATTTAATCTCTTGAATTCCCCCTTCCATTGTGCGTGTTGAAAAACACTTATTGGTGCATTTCTTTTTGAAGTAAAGCAAAACCCCAAAGCAGCTGCTCTAGCACACCACCACTGGAGTGGGTAGCAGGAAGGCAGACTTCTAACTCCAAACCAAATTACAGACTATATAAAGAACAAGCTTAAGTGACTCAGGAATGTGTTCTTAAGTCAGAAGTTTCGTGTACTTTGCATGTGAAGTGTGAGTCTGTGCATGCCTGTGTGCAGGTGATGGCCATCTGAAGGAGCGGTCAGAGCTGTGCAAGAACTCACTTAACTCCTCTCTACCCACAAACCTCCCTCCAGGAGATGTATTTCACATTGGGAGATACAGCTTGTGACATCCAGGTCCAAGAATTGAAGCCAGCTATATCACTCAAATTGAGATATTAACTGGCAAGTCAAAACAACAGCCAGTTCCTATTTCCTGTGGGCTAGTAGGGAAAAAAGTGCATTTAGGCAATACATATCATCCTTTTAAGTCTGAAGAGAGATTGAGATGACAAAGATATTGAATGCAGGAAAAAGCAAAAGGCTCCAGCAAGGAAGTGCAGTTGTGAAAGGTGTTTCCTAAACCTGTAACCAAGGGTTTCAAACATTCAAAACTGGAAAGCAAACTTGGACGACTGAAAATCTGCTAGACAATGTGAAAACACAGGTTTGTTTCTATAGGAAAGAAGGTAAAACATCATCTGTCATCAGCGAGCAGCTTCCCCCACACCAAACCATGAGCATGCCAGAAAATGACCTCAGAGAACCCCTGATGCAGGTAAGAGTTAGCTTCTGTCCATTTACTTCTGACCTTTTCTCTTGAGAATGGCACAGCAGCCCAAGGCAATTGCAGCAGTGGTTTTGTGAGGTGAACACCTGCCTTCCCAATCTGCCCGTGCAATCTGCTCACAGTAGCCTGGCTGCACACAGAAAAAGAGCAGTGACCACAAAGGTTTCAAACCGGCTCTCTCTAGGTACAAAAATAACAATAGCATCACCTGGGCGCTCTTTATGTACGTGCAAGGGGTCGATCAGCATCTCCTGCTTCATCTTATTCCACTCTGCTATAAAGTTTCAAAGCCTTTTCTATATCACAAAGAGGAATTAGACATTTAATTACTCTGCCCCGTAGACAAGATCCACATAAGCACAGTAACAGGCAATAGAATTCAAACCTAATCCAATTATGAAAGCTTCTCTAAGGTGAGTAAAATGGAGAGAGGAATCAGAACTGCACTGATTTCACTTGCTGCTGCTGAAGCCTGCACAACCAGGTGCCTAATCCTCAGGAGAGAACTAACACAAAGTCAGGCTGCAACAAAATCAGGGTCTAGCTTCACAGAACAACTAAACTTTCCTAGAAATCCCCATTTCATAGCCTGCTGGCTGGAAGTCAGGGTGTTAATGCACACTGAGCACAGTGAGAGCCCCAGCTCTAACTACCAGTGTGATGCACGTGGTAAGAAAGGGCTTGCTGCACAAGGCAAACAGATTTCAAAGAAGAGAGTATCCAAATTAAATGTTGACTGCTTAGAATCTGTCTGAAATGCCTAATGGATGTAGTAGAACTCTAAAGGACTGAAAGATTTGAGTTCTTCAGTCAACCAAGGACTTAGGCTAAAATTTCAACAAATCAAAATGCTAGAGTAAAAGTGAGATTTCAGCTATTCCTAGAAAGCAGCTGGAAACAGCTATCCCAGCCCCACCTCCCAGGGCAAGCCACCAGGTCCTCAGTGTATCTAGGAAGCAACCATTCAAATCACAGAAGGAGAGGAGGAAAAGGCTTCCCAGCAGTGACTGTATTATCTGGATCTGAACTTTACACAGCCTACAAAGGGGAAATTCCCCTGGTTCCCCTGGCACCTGCCCTAAGCCTCTACAGATACTACAGACAAAGCTATTTAAACAGCAGGACAGATGAGAGATCCTGTCCCTCTCTGGCTCATACCATGAAACTGGAAAAAATTATTAAAGGGTTAGGTAAAGGACCACCAAAAGCCAGGAAAATCATCACTGGCACAGCAATTCTGACTTCCTCACTGCAGCTCAGTGCTGCACAACCACATGCAGGCTCACACGCTGGAATCACAGTGTTGAACATCCCATTGCCAAAGTTAGAGAGAAAAGAAACCTCTCCAAGTCCATCTTGTGCAGCCCCAGAGGGTCCCTCAGATGGGACATTATTCTGCCCAGCAGGTTACCCAATATTCTGTTTCAGACAGCAAAAGTCTCCACGGCTGACGTGGACTTTTGAGTAAAACCTTTAGGGAACTCCTCACACAAACTGACACAATTCACACTGGGCAAGTCTTCCTCTCTCCCTCCCACACCCATATTGAGCTGCTTCTCCCTCAATTTCCTTCTACAATTAAGCCACATCAGTGACTGAAGGGCTCCAACACTCGAGTGATGAGGTCTCAAATGCTCATACAACCATCCTCACTTACTCCAGGACTTTCTTACTCCAGGATTTTACTGTCTCCATAGTGATGCAAGGTGAGGAATAAAGGTTTTTCCCTTTGTAGAGCTAGATGGGCAGGAAGAAAGGGCTGTAGAGTTTTTCCCACCTCTCCTGCTAATACCCAAATACCAAAGCACCCTGCCACGTGAAGAGGGCAGGAGAGCACTGCAGCCCTATGGGCCTGACCTCAACACTCAACTCCAACCCACTTGTGAATTTAGACTCACTGTCTACAAAATAAGTGAGATTAATTTCTGTTCATTTGGTCACCTTTCCCCCCATCAGCCAGCTATCCCAAACTAAGGATATCTTCCCCTCTTCCTCCTCCAAACCCCACATTTCTGACTCTGTTGTTAGCCTGGAAAGACAGATGTGCTTCTCTAACATGGTCAGCCAGGAGGTTTTCAGCATAAACTTTAGGTCATTTTACAGAAGAACAAGGTAAGTGCTTAGAGGAGGCAGGTCAGCTCAACAACAGTAGGAAGCCTCAACCTGCAGATGTAGACAGACTACAGGTTTGAAACAGGGCTTTTTTTCTGTTCTGTTTTAAATAAAGCAACTTTTTGCCTACACTTAATTTTCTTTGGAAGGAGCTGGAGACAGACACCTGCAGGAGAACCTCCTCTCCAGGGGCTCAGAGCACTAGGAACTCTTGCTTTGATCCAGAGCCCAGCGACCTGAGCTTCCAAAAACCCACAGGAACTAAGCACACTAACAAGAACTCCACACCTCCCATCCCCACTCACACAATGTTCTAACATGTACTTTGTCCCAGCCTCTCAGAGGGACCTTTTGGAGGGGTGAGAAAGATGGGAAAAAGAGTCCAGTACTCTGTTTAATAGAGTTCCTATAAAATCTCTGCCTTCAGAAGATGAACCTAAAAAAGGGAAAGGCATCTTCACTCTCTCCTGACTTCAGTACCTGAAATAAAGCCTTACAAAGGGGAACTTAAAAAAAAAAAAGGCAAGCTGATGATGACAGGAATTAATTGGCTCTAAAACCACAGCAGAGCCCCTTGGTGGGCACTGCCTTTTTACACAGCCACTAATGGGAAGGGCAGAAACTTTCCCAAGACTCTCCAGCTCATCCACAGCAACACTGGACTCTTTGGGGGGAATTAAACCTCATATTGTGGCTTTCCCCTTCCAATCAAAAAGCCCTCAAATATTCCATTGGAAAAATTCAAATCTTCCAAATACAAATACAAGGAAGGAAGGAAGGACACAAATTCCTTAATAGTCAAGGTAGAAACACTCCTGAGTCTCTGGTGGCCACTACTGCTACAGCTTTTAGTTTGGAACCAAACAAGTACCCATTTGGAACCTCCTGTCAGAAGAAATGGTATTTTTTTTCTAAAAAGCCCTGTCATATCAGTCTCTTCAGGAACAAGGCACCTACTTTCACTGTGAGCCCAGGTGCCTTCCAAGGGACATCAGGTTCCCAGGGCAGAAGCCACATGGGCATGCAATGCTACAATAAATTCTTTGTCTTTTGAGATGGATGAATTTCATTTGTAAGGTACAACTGGAACAACCCAAAAACTCTCACCTCCAGTTTGGGGGAAAAAGAGTTAACTTCCTCCTTCTCTTTCCCCATTTTTGTCTCTTAGCCCCCCACCCTCCCCTGTGCAAAGCACCAGCTCCTCCTGAACTTTCACTGGAGAAGCCCGAGAGCTCTGCTTCCTCCTGGGCTTTCAGACCAAACTCAGCCTTGCTGCTTTGTACAGTCACCTGTGGTTCTTCTTGAATTTTTCTGCCCTCTAGCTGTGCAATCTCAAATACACTCTCTCAGGAACATACCACAGCTCTGAAGTGCTCCTGATGAGCAGAGCCCTGCTCCTAGATCTTAGAAGATACCAAGCACTTCAGCACCTTCTGAGAGCTGTGCTTTCTCAGGGAAGTTTCCAGAGACACACTCGAGTCCTCTGGACTATGGGGGAATTTCAGCTCATACTTCAGTGCTTCCCATACTCGGGACTACACAACTGTCCATCCTAAAGACCTTAAGGTGGTTACAAAAGCCCCTCTGGTTCTACATGCCTGAAGGTCTGTGTAGCAGCAGCAGCTCAACTCCCATGCTTGCCACAGATTCATTCCAGAAGGTTTTTGGGGGCCTCAGTTTATCTCCCAGTCAAACACAGAGGAGTTTGCTCAGAGCAATCCTGAAATTCCCCCGACTGCCCTTCGGGAGAAGCTCCCTCCTCCCTAACCCCTGCAGAGACCTGGAGATGGACAATGCCAGGGATTCTGTTACTCCTCTCACTGACACAACTTTATTCTTTATTCTGGGACTTTATTCAGTTCAAGCTGTGGGTCTCGAGCTGAAGAAATAAGAGCCTGCTCAGAAGTGCATTACAGGAATTAAACTCTATAAACCATGTCTTTAAAAGCATCTAGACATTTCAGCTGCCCACATCAGGATACTCCAACCAATCCCCACTGCACATGCTGCTGGCTGTTTCTCAGTCAGTGATACCCTTTATGGCAGTCCCCAAATTCATTAGTCACTGTTTGAAAAAGTGCCACAAACCAGAAGAGGCCCTGAGAACGTGGCAGTCAAACTCCTCCAGAAACAGCCACTGGTGGTGAACCAAGTTCCTAAATGAGACTTCACTGCAATTGCAATATGGGGGGCTCTGAGAGGGAGGGGAAGCAGAAGATAGAATTATAAAAGTTTGCTTCTGTATTAGTGAAGTATCCTAACACCCATCTTCTCCTCCTCTACAGGTACAGCAGCTAAGTGGAGACCATAACAGCTCCTCGTGATGGGAGAACTTAATGATGAAACACAACGTGAGCGAAGGTGGCAATAAATAAATGAACATTTGGTTTGTGTTGTGGGTCAGTTTCTAGAACAGCCTCCCTAACACGCTGAGGTTACAGCCCTGCCCTCCTCCTGCTGTTCCACGGAGGCAGCTGAAGCAGCCCAAGGGGCTGACCCCAGCAGGGGGGACAGGCTGAGAGCCACACTCCCTGCACCCATCCCACCAGGCAGCTCACAAACTAGAGGACTCTGCTGTCAGACATCCTCCCATTCTACCCTCCTCCTCAACTACTTGGCAGGAAAGAGAGGAAAAAAAAAAAAGCCAAAAACAAAAGCAAACAAAAAGAGGAAGCAACATGGCTGTGACCAAGTTAGCTTTGTCACCAGCCCATGCAGTCATCTGTCTAAAGTGTTCCCAAAACTATCTTCTTCCCCTTATTTTCCTTTTTCCTGCTTGTTTTCCTTCTTTCATTACCTACTTCCACCTGTATAAATTCACCCCCACCTCTCATTTTCCTTCCCACAGCATGCTTGACTCCCTCTCACACACCAGCCACTGCCCTGGGGTTTGCATCCCAGTGTGGCAAAAGGCAGCTCTTAACTTCACGTGCCCCTCCGGGCTGTCTCTCAGGGTCATCAGCTCCACTTCCAAGGAGCAGCAAGCACTGGACCAGCAACACGGGTCAGCAGGTCCAGAGGCAGATAAATTGAGCAAAACCCACTGAATTTGCAGGTTTGGGGATGGCAGGAGAGGAAAGGAAGGGAGGGCACGAGGCAGGGAGGAGGTGCAGCACCACCTAAATCCAACGCAGACATTGTCCACACTCAACAGAGCAGCTGGGAGATCAGACAGACCATGGACAGGGTATGGCAGCAGCCCCAACAAGTCCTGCTTTGCTGCTGCACCCCAGTGTAGGAGATCCAGGGTCTGCCTGTATCAGAACAACTGTACAGGCACAGCTGCTTCACCTCGGAGTGGGGACAGTCAGCTGGAACTGCTGCTAACAGGGTGCTTTGAGAACAGGGCATTTATTTGGAAGGCTACATAAAGTTTCCTGTGTTTTCTAAATACAGGTCTGTCTTCCTGTACACAAAAAAATAAACCTCATGCAAAAAGGAAAAACAAACAAAACAAAACAACACAGAGACTCTTAAATGAAGTGGCACAGACAGTGTGAGGACCAGTGGTCAGAGAGCAGCCTGCACACCCACCAGCCTCACAAGCAGTGATACCAGAACTCCTCAGCAGCTGTTACAAACAACCAAAATACTGAAAGCAAGTAGCAGGAGGCATACGAAGCTTTTACTTATAAGGAGGGCTTGGAATAAGCCTTACAAAGACTCTGCCTGGCTCAGAGGATTCACAGGAATCACTTCAGGCAGGCCAAGGTTTGGGAATGCCAGGCGAAGCACGCTCTGAGGAGATGGGGCTCATTTTTCTGTTCTTAAAGTACTTGCAGCACAGCACACGGAGGAGAGAGCAAATAAGTTCCTCTTTAAGTGCTACCAGGTGAATCCAGAAACAAAGCAAGATGGGGCTAAAGAAGCTGCAGAGATGGCAGAGAATTCTGTAGGCCTGTGAGACAACAACACCTTAAGACCCCTGCTAAGCAATCCTAGAGATAAGGATAAAACTAATCTTACCTTTAAAGTTGCCAATGAACAAGCCAGGCAGAATCTGTGAGAAAGAAATATAGTATCAAATATAGATATCTTGTGGTAAGACAATTTGACAAAGTTCAATTTGCATACAGGATGGAGCATACTACTTTAGCAGACTATTGTCAAATGCCATCTAAAAAGCACTGACAACGTTTTGTGCCTCTTTGCCCCCTTCCAAACCCCGTGGCTCTAGGCACGCCACGCTTGTTCAGCACCCCGGGGTGCTGAGCAGAGGCACCCACACCTAACAGGGGCTCTCCAAGGGCACCAGAAGCAGTTCACAAACACAAAGCGGGCCCCAAGATGTGCCCTTCCCCCTGCCCCCTGCAGCAGGGTAAGAGTTACCCTCATTCAACTAAAGATGAAACTTCACACAGAGAAGGGGATTTGCCTAACGCTGCTAAGCAGGCTGGCCAGAGCACCGCAGAGCAGCATCCTCCAGGCCTCTCAAGGCACAGCCAGGCAGGCCTGGGCTGCAGCACTGCAGGGCTCCTCCATAGGGGAAACCACTGCCAGCAAGGAGCTGTGTGTTCATGGAGACAGAGGACTGGGGAAAAGTGCTTGAGTTGTGTGTTTCTCCCCCAGAAGCCTGCACAGGTCTCGGTTGCAGGACCTTCTGTAACTGGGGAGTTTCAAAGTCAGCCTGAGGACCAGCTTGTGCAGACTGAGGACAGATCCAGAGAGGCTGGTGACACTGCAGTGCTACCCCTCCCACAATCCTCCCAACCTGTGAGCAGTAATAAGGACAGGGAAAACCCGCAGGCACATCAAACATACACTTTCTGGCCAAGAATTTCGTTCTCTGCCACCTGAAGCCTCTGCCCCACGTCCACATCCTTTGAAGAGGCCAGATCTGAGGCAATGAGCCCGTAGGATCCATTTCTCTTCGCTGCCTGCAGAGCATACCACCCATACAGACATGTCAGCGCCGACTTCCTAGAGCCTTAGCAACACCCAAGTGTCACCACAACAGCAGCAACAGTCTCCCGGGCACAGCTCCTGGAAGGGAAAACTCCACCCACGCCGCTCGCTCCGGAGCTCCCAAAGTCACCAAGGACTTTTCACCAGGGATTATCACCTCACCGCAGGCTGCCTGCTGCCAGGAGCCCCAGCTCACTGCTCCAGGGGCAGCAGGGGGGCCTGTGCACTGCTCCTGACCTGCTGCTCCAGGGCTCCCACCCGATACAGGGCTGGTGCCAGGCTGCGGCGCTCCTGGAGCTCCCCGCGGCTTCAGGCTGTGCAGGCGTTCCTCCCTCACAGCCTCCCGGGGTGAGCTCTCCCCCAGCTCTAACCACGGGGCTCAGTTCAGCCACCAGCACCCCCAGACCACTTCCCCAGGACCTGGACAAACTAGGGGCTGCACAACAACATGGGCTAGATAAGAAAATGGTTCTTTAGTCTGGTACGAAGAGGCACCTCAAAGTTTTGCACGGGTGGGCTCCAACAGCTTTCTCCCCTTCCCTAACCTCATTTTTCATTTGCACAAATTCAGTATTCACACAAAAGCAGCAAAAGAAGAGTGGGGCAGCTCCTGATGCCAGGGTATCTGACAGGGAAGAGGCCCCTTCCAACGCCCTGCCAGCCCCTTCTGCACGCACAGGGCTCAGGGACTCATTCATTACTGTAAGCACGGTGGATGGCTCTGCTGAAGTGCAGCCCAAAGGCCACCACTCCAAGCAAGGAACCAGCAGCCAGTAGCTGCTCCAGAGAGCAGAGCACCCAAGCTAAGTGCCAAATTCTGCGAACAAAAACCATGCTCTAAAGTGAGTTGAGTTGTGAATGAATTTCACCGGCCAAATCACCTCAGCCAGCTCCCTCCATTTAAGCTTGAGAAAAAAAATAAAATCAAAAAAGCCTTTCTGATATTTTTAAATAGCTGTCTAGTGTTTCTTGTCCACAGACAGATCTCAAATCATACCACCACTCTAGACTATGGCATTTTAGACTCTGGGACATCATTTCTGCATCAAACATGCTCTCGAGGGGGATAAAAGCTTAAATTGCAGTCGTAGTCATTAAGGTTAGACATTATAATTTAAAGATACCAAGAAGATAGCACTGGAGGGCTTGCAAAAACAAGGCTTCTCAGATTTTTTTGCTGGCAAAAGAGGAAAAATCCAGAAGTTTGCATCTGTGCATCATGAAGCAACGCAGGAAACTAGGACACCGTGCAAGCAGGGGCAGATGTCACCCCTGTTGTCCTAGTCATTCTAGAAGCAAGAAACATTACTCTGGGTGAAAGCTACCTGGAAAGAAGTGAATCTTCACGCTGTGCTGACTAACACTCCCAGGGCTGGGAACTTTCGGCTGTGTCATCTCACACTGCTGGCCCCAGCTGCAGCCCCGGCCCGCCGGGCGAAGGCCCATGGCTGCCAGGGGCGTGTGAGAGAGACAGGGTGGGAGTCACAAGAGAAGAAAAATAAGGTGGTTGTTTTTGTCAACTTGGCAACCACTGCTTTATGAATAAAAACAGGAGCCTCTTTATATCACCCGAAACACCGAGAAGATGACCACGGACCAAATAACAGATGCAGAAGGCACGAGCAAGGAGGAGGCCAGCAACGCCCGTCGCCGTGCGGGCCCGGCAGAACAGCTCACCTCCTGCACCACCCACCACAGCAGGGCCTGCCATGGACAGGGCTTGCTCCAGCTGCTCTTCATTCTCATCTGATAAACACCTTCAAGGGCTACTTTGCTGCTGTTTCCTCTGTAGGCACACAGATAATAAAGAACCTAACTCCTTGCCCGACGCTGCTTCTAGACGCACCAGCACTGGTGGGTGCCCCGGAGGAGCTCATTGCTGTGCAGGCAGGAGGAGCTGAGCCCACCCTGCCCAGTGCAACAGGGCAGGGAGAGGAGATTTGCCACTGGCGTGAGCTGGTGCAGCTCCACTGGCTTCCACAGAACTGGTCGCATCAGCTCCAAGGATCCACATTGATTCCTGTCTCTCCTGGACCAGCTCCTGCCACAGACAGGGTTATCTGCCCTCTCCAGGGGTGACACAACCCCCAGAAGGGGCAGCTAACTCTAACAGGATGGAGAGGAACGAAACCCCAAGGAAAAACTCTTCAGCTAGCATACCCTGTTCACAGCTAACCAAACCTAAGCACTATGATCCCTCATCACCATCTCAGCTCCTGGAAAACATCTCTGTAATTTTCAACCAGTGGCTTCAACTTGAACTTTGAATACAAGTCTAAGTTAGACATTAAGTGTGAAGATGCATCGGGCCACTCAGGCGATTTCCCAAGTCAGACCCCATGACTCATCCTCCACTTAAAAAGATGTCAAAAGAAAAAGTAAAGCATTGAAAATGAATAGCAGCTAAGTCCTGCATGCTCACTGGCCTTCTTCGGGCAGAATAAGGAGGGCATTTATGAACCAATGCTTTCAGTTTTGTTTGGGAAAAGTCAGGAGGCTTGAGTGGGCTTAAGGAAAAAGAATAATCACAGCTAATTTTAGAGATAACTAGCAACAAAAAACAAACCCCACTTAAAAAGAAAAACAGGCCTAATGATCAGGACTACAGGCTCCCCCAAGCCCAGTGCCACGGCCATTTGCTGTGACATGCACCAATATCAGGTGACAGAAAACCAGGAGGGGACCGTGCCACTGGGAAAGGCTCAGCACCCGAGAGCAGCAGCAGCAGCTGTAGGGAGCTCTGGAGCTCTTCCTTGCCATCCCCATTACAGGTTGCCACTGATCCTCCTCCCTGGCTTCAGTACAAAGAGATTCCCCACATGAAACAATCCACCGTCGGATAAGCTGCTGATTTCCTCCTACCGCCCGCACACAGCTCCAGCACAAACCCTCACTGCGGGGGGAAACCAAGGCAGCTGGCACCCACAGACTAACTGCAGCAAGCAGATACCCCCCAACATCAGCACTGATGACCCCAGGCCCCCCCCGGCTGCTCAAGCATTCGCTGACTCACGGAGCTCAAGGAGCAGATGATGCAGGGGCACACGCTGAAGGCAGCAAGCACCAGACCCACACGTGGGACCCCTACAAAAATAAACCCCCATGGGCAATGCCCAGCGTGGCTGTAGCCTCCCTGAAGGAGCTGCCTCCTCCAGAACTGTGGAACTTTTCATCCTCTGGGGCACAGCCGTGAGAAAGGAGGAAAAAAAATCAAAGTAGCACTATACCTGTCCCAAAAACTCTGGTTGCTACGCACTGGGGCAACACTTCACAGAATGAACAATGACCAAACTGCCCAGTCACAGCCTGCCAGCTCCTGCCCACACCCCACCACCACCAATGCAGACGAGTGCTAAGCTTCAAAGAGCTGAGAATTGTCCTTCTTTTTTCTTCTCCAGATCACAACTTTAGCATCTCATATCCTGTCCCTCCAAGTGTTTTAGTAACTTCAGACTTTCCCAGAAAAATACTACAGATGTACTGGAGAGCTATAAGAAGTCTCTCCAGCTGTGTTTCTTCCTAACTGGCAACTCCTAGAAGGCAGCTCCAAGGAGTGGCTACATATCACAACACATCCCCAGACTCTGAAATCAAACACAGAGAGAAGGACCGAGGGAGGCTCCACCTCCTACCCATTAACTCAGCAGGACTAATCACCCAGATCTTTGCTTTGCCTAAGGTTTCTATTCCAACGCCCACCCACGGGATGACAGGGTTTCGCCTCCCAGGTGTCACACCAAGCTCTCTGGACATCCACCCATCTGATTTCAGGGGTAAGACCTGGACAACTTGCGAGCAGTTATTTCCAGCTCCTCCCCTGTGCTTTGTCAGAGACCCTGGTCACAGCACAGCTACTCCCAAAATACTCAAAGCAGGATATTAGACAGAAGAGATGACTCAACTTCTGTTCCTCATAGTAAGCTATATATAAGGGCTAGTTATCAGCACACTTTCAAACCTGGGTTTAAAAGAGAGGTGGAGATAGAGAGAAAAAGCACAGCTGCCCCTCGATAGCCACCACCACGACATGCCAGGGGAATCCACGCTTACAGTAAGCCCCCACTGCCAAAAAGCCAACACCCTTTCCAAACCGGTTCCACCGTCCTTCCTCGCTGCGACCTGCACCGGGACCAGGTGCTGCACCGGGACCAGGTGCTTCCCCGCCCCACCGGCT